AAAAAAAAAAAAACAAAATTAGCTGGGCATGTTGGCAGGCACCTGTAATCCCAGCTACTCAGAAGGCTGAGGCAGAAGAATCACTTGAACCAGAGAGGAGGGGGCTGCAGTGAGCCAAGATTGTACCACTGCACTCCAGCTGAGCAACAGAGCAAGACTCCATCTCAAAAACAAACAAACAAACAAAAAGGCCCTTCTGTAGAGCACCTGCAGGTGACCTGTGAATCACCAGCTCTTGCCTCATGGGGTAGGCAAGGGGTGTGGCATCAAGTGAAACCAAGAAATTTGGATGCTGGACATTAATCAGCCCTCCCAACCAATATTGGGCATTTGCTTGGCATTGAACCTAGGCTGTCACTAGGAGCCACAGCCCAAGCTTGTAATGCATATGCCACTTACACATCACCTCCAACACTGCATATCCCACCTGACCAAACATGCTTCATTCAGCTACCACCATCACTCAGGCACCTTGCAGCTTCCAAAGCAGAGAGGATTACCAGGAACAAAGCAAGTGCCACCCTTTCTGGTTGTGTGATCTCAAGCAGGTTACTTCCCCTCTCTGTCCTCATCTATAAAATGGAGGTAAGCCAGGTGCGGTGGCTCACCCCTGTAATCCCAGCACTTTGGGAGGCTAAGGCATGCAAATCACCTGAGGTCAGAAGTGTGAGACCAGCCTGGCCAACATGGTGAAACCTCATCTCTACAAAAAATACAAAAATTAGTCCTGGCAGAGTGGCTCATGCCTGTAATCCCAGCACTTTGGGAAGCCAAGGTGGGTGGATCACCTGAGGTCAGGAGCTCGAGACCAGCCTGGCCAACATGGTGAAACTCCATCTCTCTCTCTCTCTCTTTTTTTTTTTTTGAGACGAAGTCTCGCTCTTGTCCCCCATGCTGGACTGCAATGGCACGATCTTGGCTCACTGCAACCTCCGCCTCCTGGGTTCAAGCAATTCTCCTGCCTCAGCCTCCAGAGTAGCTGGGATTACAGGCATGCGCCACCATACCCAGCTAATTTTTACATTTTAAGTAGAGACAGGGTTTCACCAGGTTGGCCAGACTGGTCTCAAACTCCTGACCTCAGGTGATCCACCTACCTTGGCCTCCCAAAGTGCCAGGACTGCAGGCATGAGTCACCGCACTCAGCGGGCAAAACCCCATCTCTACTAAAAATACAAAAATTAGTCAAGCATGGTGGTGTGTGCCTGTAATCCCAGCTACTCAGGAGGCTGAGGCATGAGAATCACTTGAACACAGGAGGCGGAGGTTGCAGTGAGATGAGATTGCACCACTATATTCCAGCCTGGGTGACAGAGTGAGACTCCTTCTCAAAAAAAAAAAAAAAAAAGAAAAAATGCAAAAGTTAGCCAGGTGTGGTGGCAGGTGCCTGTAGTCCCAACTACTTGGGAAGCTGAGGCAGGAGAATCACTTGAACCTGGGGGGCAGAGATTGCAGTGAGCCAAGATCATTGCACCACTGCACATTTGCACCATTGCACCACTGCACAATTGCACCATTGCCTGGGCAACAGAGCAATACTCCAGCTCAAAAATAATAATAAAATAAAATAAAATGAAGGTGAAATAATAGGACTTTGCCCACTGGGACTCTGTGAGAGCTACGTGATACTACACGTAAGCACTCAACACAGTGCTGGTTACACAGTAAACACTCAGTAAATGTTAGGTGGTATCAGTATTATCAATGAACTGTTAAAGGCTGCTGAGATGTGAAGGTTGGTAACTTTCCATGGCCCTGATACAGAGGTTACCAGACATCTCAGAGCTCTAGCAGAGCAGGAAGAGACTTGAGAGGATCAGTGATCCCAACACCCTTATCTCACAATGGAGAATCTAAAGGTCACTGAGGAAAAGGGACTAGTTCAAAGAGAACCAGGACTGGAACCCAGGGTTCTTCCTCAGACCAAGTTCTTCCCCAGATGTGAGCTGCCCAGGGGAAGAAATGAGAAGCAAAGCTCACCTTCATCTCCATAGCTTCACTCATGCTCCCAATCAAACTATTTTTTAAGTACCTACTATGTCCTGGCATTGTGCTGGTCATTTGTACAACACAGAGGCGTCTTTCTGTTGGTCCCACCACCTGACACCAGGGCATCTGTCTGTCTGAGTTGCCCTCCACCCCAGCCTTACCTGGGCTCCGGGTCAGTGGGGGTGCACCTCTTTGAGACATATGCCATCTTCAAAGACACGTGTTTGGCCTCGCTGAGGTTCCGGGGTCTGGGGCCAGGAGAGGAAGGCTGCCGCTGAAGGGGTGAGGCAGGAGGTGAGTCCCAGCCGACCGAGGTCCCACCAGCAGAGTTCTTGAAATACGGTGAGACATCCTTCATATACTTAACTGATCGGGAGAGACATCAGTAGTCACCACTGTGACATGGGCTCCCAGCACATATCACAATGGTCCCTAATTTATTAAGAGTTTAATTTAAGCCAGGCTCAAGCCTATAGTCCCAGCACTTTGGGAGGCCGAGGTGGGCAGATCACGAGGTCAGAAGATTGAGACCATCCTGGCTAACACAGTGAAACCACGTCTCTACTAAAAATACAAAAAATTAGCTGGGCTTCATGGCACGCACCTGTAGTCCCAACTACTTGGGAGGGAGGCTAAGGCAGGAGAATCGCTTGAACCTGGGAGGCAGAGGTTGCAGTGAACTGAGATCATACCACTACATTCCAGCCTGTGCAACAGAGCAAGACTCTGTCTCAAAAAAAAAAAAAAAGTTTAATTTAGGTCCAGTGTCATTATTAGATTCTTAGTAAGCAAGAGTCCAATAGTGATATTAACAAATTCTTCTAGGTTAAAGTGGAGCAGGAAATACTGGATGCCCACCTATATCCCTTCTCTCACTTTCCCTGTGGCTAATAGACACACAGCCACCAGGAAGAAAGACTCTATTTCCCAGCCTCCTTTGCAGTGAGGTGTGGCCATGTGACTAAGTTCTTTTATTTTTTTTTTATTTTATTTTAAGACAGTCTCTCTCTGTCACCCAGACTAGAGTGTCATGGTTCGATCACAGCTCACTACAGCCTCAATCTCCCAGATCAAGCAATCCTCCCACCTCAGCTCCCCAAGTAGCCAGCACTACAGGTACACACCAACACACCTAATTTTTTTAATTTTTTTGTAGAGACAGGGTCTCACCATGTTGCTGGTCTTGAACTCCTAGACAGTATAAACATGAAGGTGATTAAAAGACTTTCCCAGGCCAGGTGCAGTGGCTCACACCTGTAATTCCAGCACTTTGGGAGGCCAAGGCAGTGTGGATCACTTGGTCAGGAGTTAAAGATCAGCCTGACCAACATGGTGAAACACTGTCTCTATTAAAAATACAAAAGTTAGCTGGGTGGGGTGGAGCATGCCTGTAATCCCAGCTACTCAGGAAGCTGAGGCATGAGAATCACTTGAACCTGGGAAGGAGGGGTTGCAATGAGCCAAGATCGCGCCACTGCATTCCAGCCTGGAAGATAAAGTGAGACTCTGACTACAAAAAAAATAGACTTTCCCAAGACCTGGTCTCTCTTCTCCAAACAAGGATATACCCTCTAGGGGTGCCTGATGCCTGCTAGCCCTGGGGCAGCCTCTCTTCCTCTGCTCTCAACCACACCTGCTCCCAACGCCATCTGGCTGGCTAGCTATCTGACGTCTGCAGTCAAAGCCCAGCCAGTGTGCCCTGTCTGTGAGTGGACAGCCCAGGAAGGAGTTAGGAAGTAGTGCTTGGCTTACCTCCCTGGAAGAACCAGATAAGAAGCTATTTATGTCATAGGAGATGTCTCTGAGGCTCAGATTTTTAAAAATCAGATAGGATTCAAAGCAGACAGGCGAAAGAGAGAGGGAGTTACAAACCCTTTTGGGGTTGGGAAAGAAGCATGTTGAAAGAAAGCAGGCCCAGGTTTTTCTGGGAGAAGCAAGCGCAGGTCTGACTTTTGGGAACTAGGACTCAAATGACTTATCATCACCGCAACGATAACTTACCCTAGGACTATTGGATTATGTCTCAAAGGGCAGCAGAAGTGGGACCTGTCACAGCCTACTTGACAGCCAAAAACTATCTCCCTTCTTTTTCCTTTGCTAAGAGAACCCTGAGCCCTAGAGGCTCAGCTTCTCCTCAGCCTAGAGGGAGAATCTTGATTGGTCAAATCTAATCATGCTCATTCCATCCTTCTTGCTTGTGATTGGTTTGGAAAGCGGCAAATGATACAATTCTGGCCAATGAGATGTGAGGAAAAGCACATTGCCTTCCTTTTCTCCTCCTTCAGCCTTTCAAAATTGCTGGGAGGGAACTTGGTCCTAGCATAACTACAGCTATTTTTTTTTTTTTTGTAGACATAATCTCACTCTGTCACCCAAGCTGGAGTGTAATGGTGCAATATCAGTTCACTACAACCTCTGCCTCCCAAGCAATTATTTTGCCTCAGCCTCCCAAGTAGCTGGGATTACAGGTGTGTGCCACCACTCCCAGCTAATTTTTATATTTTTAGTAAAGACAGGGTTTCACCATGCTGGCCAGGCTGGTCTCAAACTCCTGACCCCAGGTGCTCCACCCATCTTGGCCTCCCAAAGTGCTGGGATTGCAGGCGTGAGCCACTGCACCTGGCCTACTTTTTGACCACAAAGGTTGGAGTCCACACATTGAGGATGGTGAAGCAGAAAGATGGAAAGACCTGAGTTTTCAATGATACCATGAGCCCCTAAATTAATCTTCCCTAGATTCATGCTGCCTCAAGATATTCTGGAGGATAACACATATTCTTCAATGTTTAAACCTCTTTGAATTGGGTTACTGTTACTTGCAGTCAAAAGCATCCTGACAAACACAGCCCCCAATGGTGCAATTGCTACATTTCCGTGCTACATCCCTCCCCTGCTCAAAGCCTTGTATGGCTCCCCTGTACCTTTCACCTAACTTCAATGTGCTCTAGGACGCAGGCCCTACCCACAGGTCCTGTCCTCCTCTCTGGCTTCACTTCTTGCCATATCCCTAATTTCACCTGCTAGTCCAATCACTAACTACTCAGAGGCTGTATGAGCTTCCAAACTTCCACAACATCAAAAATGTAGTTCCCGGCCTGGCACAGTAGCACATGCAGTTTTGGAGGCCAAAGTGGGTAGATCGCTTGAGCTCAGGAATTGAAGACCAGACTGGCCAACATGGCGAAACCCTGACTCTACTAAAAATACAGAAAAAAATTAGCTGGGCGTGGTGGCAGACACCTGTAATTCCAGCTACTTGGGAGGCTGAGGCAGGAGAATTGCTTGGACCCGGGAGGCGGAGGTTGCAGTGAGCTGAGATCGCACCACTGCACTCCAGCCTGGGGAACAGAGCAAGACACTGTCTCAAAAAAGAAAGTCGGCCGGGTGCGGTGGCTCGAGCCTGTAATCCCAGCACTTTGGGAGGCCGAGGCGGGTGGATCATGAGGTCAAGAGATCGAGACCATCCTGGTCAACATGGTGAAACCCCGTCTCTACTAAAAATACAAAAAATTAGCTGGGCATGGTGGCGCATGCCTGTAATCCCAGCTACTCAGGAGGCTGAGGCAGGAGAATTGCCTGAACCCAGGAGGCGGAGGTTGCGGTGAGCCGAGATCGCGCCATTGCACTCCAGCCTGGGTAACAATAGCGAAACTCCGTCCCAAAAAAAAAAAAAAAAGTAAGTAAAAAATTTTTTTAAAAATTAGCCAGGCATGGTAATGCATGTCAGGCGTGGTGATGTGCACCTGTGATCCCATCTCCTCAGGAGGCTGAGGCAGGAGGATCGTTTGAGCCCAGGAGACAGAGGTTGCTGCAAGCCATGATTGTGCCACTGCACTCCACTCTGGGTAACAGAGTGATACACTGTCAAAAAAGCGAAAGAGAAAAAGAGAGGGAAGGGAAAAATTAGGGGGGCGTGATGGTGGGTGCCTGTAATCCCAGCTACTCAGGAGGCTGAAGCAGGAGAATCGCTTGAACCTGGGAGGTAGAGGCTACAGTAAGCTGAGATTATGCCATTGCACTCCAGCCTGGGCAAAGAGCTAAACTCTGTCTCAAAAAAATAATAATAAAAACAAAAATAAAAGATTATAACTACAAGGCCGGGCGCGGTGGCTCAAGCCTGTAATCCCAGCACTTTGGGAGGCCAAGGCGGGTGGATCATGAGGTCAAGAGATCGAGACCATCCTGGTCAACATGGTGAAAGCCCGTCTCTACTAAAACTACAAAAATTAGCTGGGCATGGTGGTGCGTGCCTGTAATCCCAGCTACTCAGGAGGCTGAGGCAGGAGAATTGCCTGAACCCAGGAGGCGGAGGTTGCAGTGAGCCGAGATCGCGCCATTGCACTCCAGCCTGGGTAACAAGAGTGAAACTCCGTCTCAAAAAAAAAGATTATAACTACAATGGTGGCTCATGCCTGTAATCCCAGTACTTTGGGAGGCCAAGGTGGGCAGACTGCTTGATCCCAGGAGTTCAAGACCAGCCTGGGCAACATAGCAAAACCTTGTCTCTACCAAAAATACAAAAAATCAGCCAGGCATGGTAGTGTAGCTTGTAGTCCCAGCTACTCAGGAAGCTGAGGTAGGAGGACTGCTTGAGCCTAGGAGGCAGAGGTTGCAGTGAGCCAAGATTATGCCACTGAACTCCAGCCTGGGCTACAGAGTGAGATCCTGTATCAAAAAAAAAAAAAAAGTCTACCTCAGAGAGATGTCAGGATTAAATAAAATGAAAGGCATGTGGTGAGTATTAAGGTCTCAATAAATAGATATTTCTCACTCATCAGCCTTTCTTGCCCATACTTCCTAGATTCTATGTGTTATACTTCCTCTGATTCTATGTGTTACTGTTATCTCCTCCACAAAACTGGGAACTCCTAAAAGAAATGGCCAGGCGCAGTGGCTCACACCTTTATTCCCAGCATTTTGGGAGGCCAAGGCAGGTGGATCACAAGGTCAGGAGATCGAGACCATCCTTGCCAGCATGATGAAACCCTGTCTCTACTAAAAATACAAAAATTAGCCAGGTGTGGTAGCATGTGCCTATAGTCGCAGCTACTCAGGAGGCTGAGGCAGAAGAATCACTTGAATCCAGGAGGTGGAGATTGTAGTGAGCTGAGATTGTGCTATTGCACTCCAGCCTGAGAGACAGAGTGAAACTCCATCAAAAAAAGAAAAAGAAAGAGAGAGAGAGGAGGAAGGAAGAAAGGAAAGAAGGAAGGAAAGTAAGGAAGAAAGAAAGAAAAAGGAAAGAAAAGAAAGAAAGGAAGAAGGAAGAAGGAAGGAAGGAAGGAAAGAAAAAATGAAAAAGAAAGAAAGAAAGAAAAAAAGAAGCAAGCAAGCGGGGGAGGGAGGAAGGGAAGGAAGGAAGGCAA